CGGGCACCTCCAGCTCCATGAGGGCCCCATGGCGTGGGGGCTCCACCAGGAGTTTGGCACCCAGGGGGCTGGGTGCTGCACCCCTTGGCGTAGGGACCCGTGGATGTGGGGCGAGGGGAAGTGGGAGGCAAGCGGGGCAGATAGCCCGCAGAGCTGCCTGGTTTGGCCGGCATCGGCAAGCCAGCCCCCGGGGCGGGGGGTGGTTTTGGGAGTAGAAATTATGCCAGAAGGAGGAATCAGAAAGGGGAAAACCGGCGAGGGACGTCATCTCTCATCTGGGGCACAAGCAGACCCAGCACCTTGGCTGAATGGGGATGGGTGCTGAGGCAAAAACGACCCCGGAGCTGGAGCTGGGCCACGTTCCCCCCAGGGACCCAGCTGGGCATCCCAGTCCTGGCCCCTGGATCCTGACCGCAGCCAGCTGAGGCCCTGGGAGGAGAGGTTGGGTAGAGGGAGGACATGGTTTGGGCAGTGTCTACGGTGTCCAGTGGCTGTTGCAGTTGGACGGCTAAGATGCCCATCTGAGGGTGGGTGCCTGGCACCCTCTTCTTCGCCCATGCCTGGAGACACTGTGGGGTCCCAGGAGGGTCCCAGCCCCTCCAAGGCTTTGGGCATGGCTCCAAGTCTTGTCCATCCTCCTGGGCATCTGCCAGGCCGCAGCCGTTGTAGGCAGCTACGGGCCAGAGAGCACAACCAGCAGTTGCGTGGTGCACGTTGCGGAGAGGGAGAGGAGGAGGGCTCCTGTCCCAGAGCCGGCAGAGTGGGGTCCCATCCCCAAGCAGGCAAAGGAGGCAGCAGGGGATCCTGTCCCCGAGCAGCTAGAAGGTGACCGTGTCCCCAAGCAGGCAGAGCAGGCAGGAAGGGATCCTGTCCCCAAGCGGCCAGAAGACACCCATGTCCCCGAGCAGGCAGAGCAAGCAGAGGAGGATCCCGTGCCTGAGCAGGCAGAGCAGACAAGAGGAGCAGAGAAGGCGGTGGCAAGCGTAAGGCGGGTGGCACAGGGTGTGACGATGCCCCCAGGGACATGTGCCCAGGAGCTGGCATGGTCACGGCCAGCTGGGAGCACCATCGCTGCACCATGCCTGTGGGCAGCTCGGCCTAGCGTTCCCTCCAGGCCAGGGCAGAGCCAGCCCTGCTCCCAAGCTGGGTGCTTCAGAAAGCTGGGCGTCACTTGGCGAGGGGACTGGGCACAGCGCGGCGTCCCTGCAGCCTGGGCACGCAGGTCCTGGAGCTTTTTCCTGGGGCGTCTGCTGCCCCTGGGGCCTCACCATCAGCAGATAATGGATGGAGTGCAGTGTGGCTGCCATCTGCCCTCCATGGGGCAGATAGGTCCGGCTCTTCCGTCGTCCCCAGGACATCCCACTGTCTCTGGGTACCGTTTCGCCAGGTCCGGCATGCAGCACTTTGCAGGGCAGCTCACGGCCTCCTGGCTGCTGCCGCGATCCTGGAGAGGTGCCGGGCACGCGCGCACCAGCCTCCACCAGCTTGCCCGAGCCTCATCCCAGGGAGCAGAGCCCGGGCAAGGAGGCAGAGAGCTGCGTTTGCTCGCAGTGCAACGCTTCCTGCCCGCAACGCAAATGAGTGCCTCCGGCGGTCTCTTCCTTGATGCCGGAGGGACCTCCAGGTCTGCCCACCACCGGCGGCAGGGACAGCCGGGCCCCCTGCCCTGCCGACAGCAGCATCCGAACTCCTCAGCTGCCAGGTTTGCAGCCCCGTAGGGCTTGTGTAGGCTGATGCCGCGCACGAACACGTCCCCGCCTGACCCAGCATGCTCCAGGAAGGCCATCGGGCAAAACATGCAAGGCACATTGCTTCCACTCCAGCAGCCCAAAGCCTGGGGACAGCCATGTGGGGACGAGTCGGGGTGAAAGGGAAGGTTTGGCCTGCGTGCCTGGTGGCCACCTGGCATTTTGGGGTTACTCCAACAATTTATTCAACTCAACTCAAGGAACAACTCAAGGGCGCAACATGCAGTTCACATCCCCTTTCCCGGCAGAGGCAGCACGGGGAAAGGCGGGAGAGCAAACACAGAGCAGAGACTAGGGAGCCATCAGCATGCCATGGATGGGTTCACGGGGAGCGATCTGCAAAGAGCCTGTGGAAAACATGGGGAGACATTTTGTTGCTGGGGAAGGAGAAAGCTAAAATCAAGAACTGACCGGTTCAGGTCCGTCAGTGGCAGGCGGACTGGCATCCTGAACTATTAAGCCCTTCTTCTTCTCTTCCTCCTCGGACCTGTGGCACAGAAGCAGCCTCTTCAGCAAGATGGTTGCATGCAGCATCCCTGCTTGGGTGCAGGAGCGGCGGCGGGACCATTTCGGAGGGGTGTTTTGTGCCTCGCGCTTCGCAGAGCATCCCCTAATGGCCCAGCCCTGCCAGCCTTGAGGCAAATCCCACGATCCCACCGGAGAAATGCAGCCACCCCTAGGCTGGAGCGTGACGGGTGTTTGATATCCCGCAGCAGAACGGCCGCGAGCACCGCAGAGGAGCTCAGGCCAAGGATGGGCAACAGGGGCCAGGGACTAGATCACGACCAGGTTTGGGGAATATCCGTTGCTTTCTTTTCCTTTGGAGAAATAAAAGCCCTCGAAAGATGGTGCTGAAGCAAGCAAGGATTGTGGATGGGTCTTTGGTTCTCCTGCTTCGCTTGCATCAATTTACCTATTGAGTGATCTTGCGTGGAAAGAGTAAATCGCTAAAAACCCTTCACGTTTCACTTGAGGGAAGAAAAAAACGTTGAAAACGATGCCCACCTTCAGCCTTCACGTGTTCGCTGGGACCTCTGGGCTGCTCCAGGGACTAACCCCTGCCAGAGATGCCGCGGCCTCGCCAGCCATTTGGGGATGCCGGCTGGCCCCCGTGCCAAGGACCGCGAAGGCGCTTCTTACCCTGCTTCCAGCTCAGCATCCAGATCCAAGTCGTAGTCGGGAGCTGTGGTCCGCGTCACCTTGCCCTGCACCGGCTCCTCTTGCAGCTTCCGCTTGCCCAGGAGCTCGAGCTGCCAGGGAAGAGGGAGAAGGGGTTAGGAGCCAGGCCAGGGCATAGTCAGGAGAGGGGCTGGCCATGACCACGGGAAGGGGCTGGATGGGATGGGGAAAGTGAGGCAGGACAGATGCCAACATCCCACTCTCAGAGCAATCTGGAGCTGGCTGGGCCCATTCGTGGTGGGGCTGAGCTGCCTGGGGCACCCAGGGAGGACGCTGGAGACTGGGTCTTCCTCACCGTCGTCAGCTTCCTCAGGGCAGCGAAACGCTCCTCCCAGGTAGCCGTGGACTTCTCAAAGGCCTCGTGCCTCTTCAGCAGTTTCTCCACGCTGTCCACTGTGTGCCCGTAATCGCCGCTGGCCAAGTAGGGTTCCTGCGCGATGAGCCAGGCCTCGGCCACCGAGGCGTCCCTGGAGAACTGGCACACCTCCAGCACTGCGGGGAGGAGGAGGGCCGGCTCAGCCCTGCGGCACGGACCCCCGCCGCCCCTTGGGGAGCCGACCCACGTGCCAGCGCCTGGCGGCATCCCCCTCGCACCCCACCCACCTGCCGCACCC